CATTTTCTCTTTACCCTAGTGGGAATCAAAGACGCATCCTTTACTTGAGAGCTGGGAATTATCGCAAGGTCAGAGACATTGATACACGATCTATGACTCTAAACGATAAAATGCCATCAGATAAGTGGCTGCAGTATCTTCATTTTCAGTACATGTTAGATGATTAGCTGGTGCCAAGTATTACATCAATATTTAATCTGTGCAGGGCCTAGTCAAGGTTTTTGGCTTTGCTATCTAACATCAAACACAACAAATTAGGTATTGACAAAGAAATTACAAAAGCGGGTCGGGTCCATATGTTTGGCGAAAACTGTTGAAGGTGAGCAAAGGGACCTGCAGGGGGTTGGGGTTGACCGGACTATCAACAGCGTTCTGTTCTTGGATTAATAAAACGGAAAGTAAAATGATAAGAAAGTTGTTTACTTGTACAGATGGCAACCAATTAATTATTACTAGTTTTTTTGTGTGACCAAAGCTCTACGTGGGAAAAGCAAATTAAAAATAGTGTAGAAAGTGGACTCCAAATCATGTGTCCCGAGAAAGAATCTCATTTGGAAGTTATAAAGGCCTCTATGAAAAGCAATGCATGGCCATATCAAAAACTTCAGCCATCTCTCTCTCTCTCTCTCTCTCACACACACTGCCCACCTCTTCCCCTGTCTGTCCTATAAACATGAAAAAGCTGAGGGGAATGTCGTCTGGTTCGAGATCATTCGTGAAACTCTCATACGTAGCTGTTCTGAGTGATTTCGGACCAGGCTTCATTCCCCTCAGCCGCCAAGCACACCATGTTCTCTTCCTGTATGGATGACATATAAGCATTGGAAATATGACTATCTCCTTGTGCTGCAGCAAACCAGATCCTCGGATAATTGAAGACCAGAAGTGATAGTGGAAAAAAAAGTGGGCGATAGAGAACGCAACTATGAAAGATTAATTCGCAGTTGGATCTGATTCCAGAGGCGGGTATGATTCAGACTTTCAAGTTGTCTTACTTTTGCTTTGTTTTCTCGCCAACAAGCTTATCTTTTTGCGGTTAGTTTATTCTCTTCGGGACTTAAACTGGAAGTTTCTGCAACTCGGTAGCCCTTGCACGTGCTTAGTTGAGCAGTAAATTTGCTTCATCTGTCTCAGAATTCATCATAACATGTCCTTCGGTTATGCCAAAGTATTTTTACCAGATAGGTCTGGTTTTTAACCTCTGTCGGTCAACTTGAGCATCAAAAAACAAACAAAAACTATGGTATTGGATTGTATTCATGTGAAGCTCATTATTTCAAGTGGGTCAGGTCTGCTGGGTGTTGTCATATCTTCGTGGAATGTTTGGAGCCACACCTTGGGATTTTAAGCTAGCCATTAACGTAACTGGAAGTTAGAATTGTACTATGAGTCAGGGCATATGTCCACGAATCTAGAAGCAATAAAAGTTTCCCCAGAAAAAGCCACTTGATAGTAGATGGTAATGATAGAGTCAGGTATAGCTAGAGATCCAAGATTCAAATCCTGCTAATGTCACAAAAATGCCCTGGAAAATTAAAAAGGTTAATTATTTTCACATTATCGGGATTAAATGACATTTTTTAGTGCATAATTTTTACATGTTACCAAGTTTTGAGATAACATCTTGTGAAAAAAGATAGCGTGAAGTTAAAAAGTCAAATCATGGCAAAGGCTAAAAAAGTTGGGGCCATTCAGTTCTTTCATTCGGGTGTCATGGGCAGAAAAGTGTATGATGAAAGATTGGAGGAATTTGATTGATCAGAAGTACAAATATTATCCCTGTCATTTGGCTATGATACTAACTGAAATTAAAGTACTGTTCACGCTAGCATAAGTCTACGCGTCCTTCCCAGAAGCTACCTACCCAAAGAAAGAAACCCACCTAAATTCCTAACTTATTGTTGTGTGTCCGAAGAAGAGAGGAAAACAATACAAGGCAGGACATAGCCGACATAGGAGTGGGGACAGTTTTGAAGGTGCATGGAATTTATTTAATAGACCCATGGCTGATGTAACTGGGATTATCACATTATTTTGCTCAACCGTGTTTGACACGTACCCAAATAGTACTTTGGAAATTAAGCACTCACCATCAGACAAATATCAAAATGATGGGTTTATTGGGATTGCCATCATAAAGCTGGATTATCTTTAATCAACACTGACGTAGGTGACAATAATCAAGCTTAATAATTGAGTGTGACATGTTCCTTATCCAATCATTTGGTTCTGGATGAGACAGTCTTAAGTAAGCTGACACGAAAGTAGAAAACTGGAGAGAATAATTATGATGTAAGCCACGTATATACGTATAGAAAGTTCTGTGGTTCTCTATACGTGAATCAAAGAAGACACAAGCATCTTTTATAAAATGTCAACAGGGGCAGAGCGAGATGTTGAATATAATTAGGCTCATGGGATGACTTACAATCATTACAGCTGATTAGCTGAATAAGAGAACGACCTGTTTAGGTTTCAAGGGAGGATAGTGGAGCTTGAACAGTCCACTATGCTACCAAACTTGCGTCTTTAGATTTATAAGCAATCAGGTCCAGGATCTAACCCCCATGATTACGTCCTAGAAAAGCTATTGAAGTCGTTACAGCTTTTTACGGTAGGTCCGTTCTTCGTTTCGCCTATGTCAGCTTGTTGGCTCTGTAATATGAAATCAAACCACGTCACTGAAGAAAATGTCCACTTACAACTTCCAAGTTAACCTTTTTCGTTTTTTCGGTTTGTATATCTGCTTTATATACTCCTCTAATCTTCAATGCATGCCTTAATCTGAGATTTAATGTTAGTTTAATATGTGAGATCACGTATTATTAATTTTTCAAAAAAATTATCTCTATTGATATTTCTTCAACAATAATTAAATAAAAGAGGAAGGGAAGGAATTAAGGAGGATGATGAGAGTATTTTAGGAAAAAATATTATATTAACTAATTTAACTAATATTTTTAATATACTCAAATTAGTTAATTAGGTTTTATATTAAAAATGAGTAGTGATATGTAAGGTACTGTTTACAAGGCATAGCGCACGTTTACAAATTAGTTACATTTCCCAAAGTTACATTACCTACGTTGTAAAAAAATTAATAATCATATAAAATAGGTCTTACATTTAGGATCAATATTAACTCTCTAATTAGGTTTTATATTAAGAATCAGAATAATAAATTTGTTAATAATTTTTTTACCAACATAATAAACAATATATAAAAATATAATTAATTAATTGTTAATATGTGTGTGTGTTTATCAAATATAAGATTAAATGTGTTCTTACAAAAATGAATATTTTTTCCTAATAAAAAAATTAAAGTATGAAACGAAGGAGGAGAGCTGGTCAAAAAGTAAAAAGAACGAGGGAGGAGAAAAAAGGAGAAAGGTTGAAGCATTTGACACTTTGATACTGATGGGACAAAAACTTTTACTCACACAGCGATTAAAAGTGAAAAAAATTTCACTTTTGGTGAAACCATGATTTTAATGGAAAAACCATAATTTCATGACAAAACTATAGTTTCAGAAAATTATAGAGTGTTTGGATATATTTTGAATGAAATCTTGGTGTGTGCTCTAAAAGTGTTTTTTTTAGGTTTGCCAAACACGCTCGGATGCTTGGAAAAGGTAAACTATTTTTCAAACATGTCCATAACAGTGTGACTTGTTTTAGAATCTATATAAAAATGAGTTTATAAGCTAGTTTCCATTTGTTTATATAATATAAATGCATAATAAATCAAATTATTTATAAGGTTTAGATAGGATATATATAACCTCAAATTTTATTACAAAACAGGAGCTTACAGTTAGTCAAGAATTTAACGGCATGTGCTCAACTGCATGTCCCTATCACTGTAACTCAAAATGTGAAATTGATTGTATGTCCAGATTTATACCTTAAATAAATAATATTCCTTCAATCCTTAGACATATTTAACTAATTTGATTAAATTAAGAGAGTTAGGTAAGTTAATTAATTATAAAAAATATGACATATTTTTCTTAAAATATCATAATTATCTTTCTTAATATCCTCCCTTCATATTCTACTTGATTATGGTTGAGGAAGTATAAATAAGAATAATTTAAAAAAATTAATAAATATGATAAATACGTCTTATATTTAAGACTAAGATCAACTCAATAATTAGGTATTATATTAAAGAGTAGAGGAGTATCTCTTAAAACAATGACTGCCCCACAGATAGAAAAGTTGTGACTAAAGAAAATAGAAAGAGAAAAAATGAAGAGAATAAAAAAAAGAGAAAATATCATTACTCCTCTTATTTGAATGGACAAGGAAGGGGGGGGGGGAATAAAAAAATATCTTAATAACTATCAAAATCCACGGCACACGTTTCAATACAAACCCCCCTTGTGCAGGGTTGAAATCATCATTTGCAGTTAAAGGGATCCATAAGATCGATTCTTCTTTTTTTTAGCCTTTTTGCCTAAATAATGTAATAAGTATCTATTTGTCCATTATGTCGTATAACAATTTGTTAGCGAGGGAAACCGCTTCACCAGTACCAGCAGCACTCGTGTCTTCAAATAACTGTCGCTCGCAATGAAGAGCACAATATAGCACAGTTCACCAAAAAAAAGAAGAAGAAGAAGAAGAAGAAGTGGTTTTCCACATCAAGAGAGGAAAAATATTCTAACAGTTATGCATTATCTCATGAACTCTCACGTTCTCATTCTGAACTGCTCCAGGAAAGAAGACAATAGTAAAATGAAAGTATAAGCTCATTCAATTCGGCGTTCAAGAATAAAGTCTTGTGCAATTGTTGAAAAGAAATAAGCACAAGATGTGGAGTATGTTAAAACCTTTCAATCTTTCTCTGACTATGTTGTATGTATTTGATACTTTCAGATAATCTGCTGGCTACGTAATTAATGATGACAGAATTTACATAAATAATTATAGTAGAATTAAACTGAATTATAATCTAGAATAGGCATTTCGGGCAGCAGCAATCTTGCTATGTATATATATATTTAAAACCTCACTGGTTCCCTCATTCCATTTTCATATTCTTCAAATTGTCATGGAAAAGGCCCGCTTTGTACAGTGTGTACTCTCTGTTCCAATAGCGAAAACAATCAAAGTAATTAATTTTGAACCGACCTGGTTTCCACCATTACCCTTGCATCTTCGGTGCATATCTTTCATGAATGTCTGCAAGGCATATGGCAGAGGGAAAACTACTTGGGCCAAAGCATCAGACCACATGCTGACTCTCTGACTTAGGTTCGTTGATGAACAGCTTGACAGCGGTGGACTCTGATAGATGCGTAAACGGTAAGAGTGCTTCAAATTGGTTTGCGTAATGATTCACAATGGAGGCATGCTTCAGTGCTCTTAACTCAGTGACGGCTGTACAGAGCTCCTAACTCTGGGATGGCTGTGAGGATCGTTTTTCTGACAACCGGCAGGAGCAACGGCAATGGCCAAAGTAGGGGGTCTGATGCCATTGTTAAGCGTAGAACAAGGAAAACAATAGGTAACTGTACTTTATTTTCACAAGACATCTCATTCATTCACTAACATCCTCTATTTATACTAATAACCTTCTCTAACTAATCAATCCTCTTAACTACCTCTAACTCTAATAACCACCACATAACACTTCCATTGCAGCCAAAACACACAACTTTTTGTTGTGTTGATTTGCCACCAAAAGATTTCATCAGATGAGGCCTGCCTTAGCATAAAACCATCAAAAGAGTCTGGAAAGTAGCAAAGAGCATCAGTGTTTGTTATTTGATGGTTTCTTGGCTACTACTTCTGAATATGCATTGAATAAATCGTACTACTGATTAGCCATCTTATATCATCTTCCAGTAGGCTCCTGAGGAGAAAAATTCGGAAGCAAATTCAGATATTCAGGACATCTTTCGTCCTTGGGAAGTAAGTCCACCATTATAGACATTGTAGAGGCATCTGGTGACAAGTTTTTTATTGCCATTTTGTGAAGAAGATCAATGGCTTTTGCTGAATCATTCTCCTGACAGAAACCACGCATAAGTGTGTTATAAGTAACTAGATTTGGAGCACAACCATTCTTCTCCATTTCCAGAAACAATTTCTCTGCTTCCTCTAATTTTTTCCTCTTACAAAGCCCATTTATCATGATGCTGTAAGTTACCACATCTGGTGCAAGACCTTTTTGAGAAATTCTAGAAAATAACTGAAAAGCAGTTTCAAGCTTTCCCGACTTACATAACCCATCAAGGACGGGATTGTACATCTCAGTGCTTAGTTTAATATTGTTATTTTCTATGCTATTAAGTAGTTCCAATGCTTCTGGAATACGATTATTCTTGCAAAGCCCGTCTAAGAATATGCGATAGACTGCTGAGTCCAGTATCTGACCATGAAGCTGCATCTGATTGAACATATTCCATGCATCCTCTATCTTGCCTATCCGGAAAAGACCTTTTATCAAGGAAATATAAGTGTAAGGAGGGGGCAACAACCCACCATGAATCATCTCCTCATATATTTTCATAGCTTCCTCTATTTTGTTATTTTTGCAATAACCATAGATCAGCACATTGTAACTAACAATATCATACTCTAGGCCATTACTCTTAATTGAAACAAATATTTTCTCCGCTTCGTGGAGCTTATCCACTAAAAGATATCCATCCATCAACGTATTATATATGCGGGTGTGAGGCTTAACGCCTCTTTGAATCATTGTCTCTAACAATTTCTCAGCTTCTTGCACCTTCCCATCCTCGACAAGAGCATGTATAATAACATTAAATGTAACCGAATTAGGCTGAATTCCGTGATCCACCATCTCTCTGTACAAGTTCTCAGCCTCCTTTGAATCACCGCAACTGTAAAAGCCATGTATCAGAGAACTATACAGCACCACATCTGGAGATATGCCCCTGCTCTTCATTTCCAAGAAAAGTCCTTTCGCCTTGTCCATCAAACCAGCCTTACAAAGGCCATCAATAATTGTAGCGTAACACTTTATGTTGGGTTTGCGAATCAAACTGGACTCATCTTTAGTTCTGATCATTTCTTCGTGCAGCTTAAGTGCATTGTCCGTGTATCCATTTCGACACAAACCATCGATTAAAGTCCCGTATGTCACCACACTAGGCAGAATGCCCAGCTTAATCATCTTCTTAAACAACAGCACTGCCTCCTTAGTTTTACTCTCTTTACACATTCCACGAATCAAGCTTGTGTAAGTAAATTTATTTGGGAAGAAACCCCTCCGGACCATATTCCCCACTACTGAAAAGCCAGCGCGGGCCCGATTCGTATTACAAAGGCAATTTAACAGAATGTTTAAGGTAATAAAATCGGGTAACAACCCGGATGACATCAGTCTACTGCAAAGAGAAATTACGGTGGAATACTGCTTGTTCTTGGCAAGTACACCGAATAAGAGATTGAACGATGACACAGGAGGGGTTGGTTTTAGGTGAAGCATGTGATCAAAATAGTGCAAAGCTTCATCTGTAGAGACTTTCCCCAATTTACAGTCTATTTTAAGGAATTTCTGCAGTGCGAATTGGGCGGAGTCATCGGACATTGAAGTTTCAGGAATAATGTCGGAATTGAAAGAGGAGTCTCTTCGGGGGTTAGCGAACAGAGATGTTAAACTAGTGGGGTTTTTCAGTAAACTAGAGGAGGTTGAAGTGGAGAAGTGTTGGAATAGAGAAGGCGACTTACCCAAGATAGAGCAGCAACGACCGCGGAAGAAGCAGCGACCATTTGCGGAAAGAAGCAGGGTTATGGGTCCTTCCGTTTAGCCGGTAGTTAATTGGTAAAGGTGCCGTCGACGGGAACCCTTCTGTCTTTACCGAGGGTTACTGGCGGCATTTGCGACGCGGCGGGTCGCTGTGGCCTCGTAAAGGTGCGTTCTCCCTTCTTTTTTTTTTTGTTGGGGGGGGGGGGGGGAAGGAGGGGAGGGAGAGGATTTTGGCGGAGGCCAACCCCTATATAGTTGTCACATGAACTTATTAAGCCCCTCCCCTCTACCCTCTTCGCCACAACCCCTAGATTAGATTTCAATGGATGGTTTAGTATTTTCCAAAAACATTATTATAATTTTATTTAAAAATATGTAAATAAATTTAAACTGCTAGAATTATAATCTAAGTAGTTAATAACTATAATGAAAAAACAAGGAAAAAAATCTCTTTTTATAATAATAATCTAGGATTGTGAACATAAAAAAACTACTTTCTATGCACGTCCTATTAAGGATGTGTTTGGTATCATGAGAGTCCAAACTGACTTCTCAATCAGTAAAAACTGGGGTTGTAAGAAATGGTGATTTAGCAATTTGATTTTTCTGTCTCAGATGGGTTTTTTCCATAAGCTGTGTCATTTTACTTTTGACGATAAAGACCATCAGTGCGGCAGAAAAAATTATTAGAGAGCATTTATTATTGTACTTTAAATTCTTTGCCTGCCTAACCTTCTTTCACATACATATCTTCTCTCTAAAAAAACAAGAAAGAACAAAGCCAGCAGCAACTGATTTATACACACATATATATCCATTAAATATATTCAATTAAATATTTCAGTATTTTTTTTTCAATTTCTTCATAATAATAACTTAATTTCTTTATTTCTAATAATTTTATTTTTAATATTTTCTTTATAATTTTCACATTATATACATTTAATATTAAATATATGTTACTTAATAAAATTTATGTCCTTTTAATAATTTTGCATCTAAACTGACTTTTTTATTAATCATCTAAATAATTTTTAATTTTTTAAGTTGATTTTTTTTACAAAAGTTAATCCAAACATAAATCACAATTTACCATATGACTTTTACCCAGTTAGATTGAAAAAAAAATATTTCTGCCACTGTTAATCCAAACACATGCTAAAAAGATCCTGAGTAGCTTGAATTTATTTATATATTTTTAAATAAAGCGATAATAATGTTTATTTTTGTAAAATGTTAAAAGGATGGGAGAATCGTTGTCCCGCGCCCATACACACATAGTAAATTTACATAAAAATGTATGTAGATTTTACAACGATTTGTGGCAAATGTGAGCAATTCATTTCTCACGCTCATTCCTTATGCTGAGTAATAAGTGTGTAAAAAGAATAAAAAGTTATATATTTAACCTTCTACACATTTAATTATAACAATAATCGTCTTCAGTTTTAAATGTAAGGTTGATAAAAAGATATGTTTTAACACCAGAAGTCACTTTATTTTTAAAATTTATAATTTTTTGCATTACAACGGTAAGCCAAGCTTGAAGATAAAGCCGAAAAACAAACAAGAAATCGAAATTACTCAGCACTGCTTGTCTTCAAGGAACCATGCTACAAAGTCAAGTCCGAAGATAAAAGTGTGATGAATCTCCCCTGTGCCAGTCTCCATAAATAATGTCCGTGATCCCAGTGATGATAGATCGTGACATTCCCGCATCTTTGTGAAATCCCATGATCCATTTTTCTCTGTCATTCCACGGCAGCTGCTTCTTGGTGAGATGTACACGCACATATATATTAGGGAGTTTCTCAGCCGTTTTCAGTGCAAATTATTAAAAAAAATATTTTAGATGATGACAAAAAATAATATTAAAAAGAAAAATCCCAAATAAAGATTAAAAAAAAAATAAAATTGGGATTTGAATTCTTGAATTTAAAAAATTGCTATCAGGACTTTAAATATGAATTAGCAAATATTGTGTAAAAGATCAGATCACCCTCTTGCTACTTGGGATACTTAACTTGTTATTTAAAATACTTAACTTGTAATTTTCAATACTATATTTGTTGTGACGTAGTGCAAACTTGTTATTTTAAAACACTTAACTTGTAATTTTTAATACTATACATGTTATTTTTAATAGCTGATTTGTTATTTCTAATATGAAAGCGATTTGGTCTTTTATAAAATATTTGACGATTCATATTTAAAATCCGATCGTGAAAACAATTTTTTGAATTCAAAAACCAAATTATAATTTTATGTTTTTCAGGGTGTTTATTTGCAATTTAGAATTTATGTTTAAAATCAACGTAATAAATATAAAATAGTTATAATATTAGCATAAAAGATGTATCCGGACAATGACATAAGTTTGGAAGTTAAGGCACTCAAGCTTGTTCTTAAACTACAAGCATATTCTTCTGTACATTTTCTCATCAAAATGTAAGTTTGGGGGCTAAATTACGAATCAGTCTAAAAATTACGGATTAAATGACATTTTTATTTGTTATTTTACTCCAATTTCTTAAATGACGTGCAGAAGTTATAACTCGTACAAAACATGTCCGTCATTGCATTATTTATGAAAAATAAATGCTTATTCAACTAAAATTTGAAACAAATTAAATTGGCAACCATTAGAAAAACTGCATACGTGTAATCCATATATTGCCATGCAAATTAAAGAGATTAGCTTCCTGCCAACTTTTCCATCGACTCCCAACAAATGGAAAGATAGGCGTGCAACCACAAAAGTTCTGAAGAAATTGCTTGGATCGTTCGTAACAAAGAGAATCACATTTCGCAACACGAACTGAAATTCTCCGATAACTTGAGGTGGTTTCCATCTTTCATTTCTCAGAGAAATGCATCAAGGTACGTGAAACACAACACAAGCCAATTTGATTATTTGCTGCACTATTTCAAAATTATTCCTCTCATGATGGAAGAAAGGATTCGTGATTTTGATCTTTCCCTTTGTCAATTCTCTTCAGATGAATACTACAAGCCCTCCTTCTCACTGATCCTTGTAGCCTCTTGCATCGGGCTCATATTTGCCTTCTCAATGCGTTATTTCATGAAAAGGATAAGAGATCAGAGGATCATTCCACGAATTAGATTATCAAAAACAGGGCACGCCGTGAAGCTGGAAAGGTTCTCCCATTATGTAGGTAATTATCATTTGTGGATCCACGAATAGCGGTACACACACTTATATAGAGACAGATCGATATTGTATTGAATCCTATGGATTGAATTGGCTTAGTCTGGTACATGTGAGATTGTGTGATTTGGTGCAGCTAGGCAACTGGGGTTAGATAGGAGAAATTGTCCGCAACTATGTAAACTAGCATCAGAATACGTGAGAAAATCCGAGGACTATGAAGACGATATATACGCATATTTTGCCAGCGAACCGGATGCTGATTCTTTATTTGTGAAACTCGTGGAGGAATTTGAGAGATGCATTCTTAGTTACTTTGCATTTCATTGGAGCCACGCAGATGTCATGATAAGTCAGGTAAACAATTCACCGTCATTACTCCTTAAAAAAAAAAAATTGTAGCAGATAAAGAACACTATTTCGGTGGTGTTTCAGGTGTTAAGTTGCGAAAGCGAACCCAAAAAGAAGCTCAAAAACATAGTCATGGCAGCAACCAGGTGAGAATTAACAATCTCCTTCTAACTCTGATCTATCGGTACTTGAGAAAATAGACGAGGCTTCGACGTTATGAAGCATAACATGAATATGAACATCCACTAAGATGGATCCGAGAGAACCAAGTAAATCGGCACTTCCATTTGTGATCTCACTTGCCCTAGTTCCATGACAGGTTTGAAATTAAACCGCCACTTGGTTGCAAGGTTAACCTGTGCCAAATCTCGTATGATGGGAATGTGTTGTCATTATTGTTATATAGACCTGTTGTAGTGAACTGCTTGGTTTGTACAGGGAGCAAAGGTTCGAGAGGGCTACGAAGAATCTGAAGGTGGCGAGGGTTTTCAATACACTGGTGGAAGAGATGAAAGCAATGGGGCTGGCACCAAATGACGATTCTCAATGTACGGAGGTGATGGCTCCTGTAGCTCACAGTGATAGGAGTCCAGTGCTCCTCCTCATGGGCGGTGGCATGGGAGCAGGGAAGAGCACCGTGCTCGAAGAAATTCTCAAAGAGTATGATCCAACAACATTTCTGATCCAGAATTTCACGAGTTTAGCTTTTGTTGTTGTCTTTTGTGAGAGTTGTTGTTTCAATGACGCTTGCTTTTGCATTTTTTTATTCTACTATATTAGGATCACCAACACAGAACTCCCAATAGCTGGAGCATTGTGATAAAGGTTCCATTTAATATACTGCTAAACATTCCATTATATTACAATATCAAATCCATAAATTAAGTCGAATCAGGATCGCTCATCTAAAAAATGTACACTGTTTAATGATGAATCGAGAACTCAAAGATGCATATAGCAAGAACTGAAAACATTTTAAAGCTCACGAGTTCATTTTAATGAGGTCCATAATTATGATAACATGGCATGCACAGAAACAAATCGTATGGGGATAATTTTGTTGCAGGAGGGTCATAAATGTTCTTGTTTACTTGTTTCAACCATCGTTTATGCTTTGAAACATACAAGTATCATTTTGAAATCATTAAAACTAACATCAAGAGGCTAATATCGTTTATTTATGAATGAAATTTAAACAGACCTTTCTGGGCAGGCGCAGCAGGGAATGCCGTAAGGATTGAAGCAGATGCCTTTAAAGAATCAGATGTCCTCTATAAGGCCCTTAGCTCTAGAGGGCATCATCACGACATGATTCGAACAGCTGAACTGGTGAGATAGTTGACACACACCTCTGTTCTTTTCATTCTGGTTTCTTGGAATAAAATCTCAACTATCCATCCTCGGACACATTTCATCGTTGTATAATGTTTTTTATTCTGGCAAGAGAAACTAACCATCACAAACAGGTACACCAATCATCTACAGATGCAGCTTCGTCCCTGCTGGTAACAGCATTAAATGAAGGGCGAGATGTGGTTATGGATGGCACTCTCTCTTGGGTACCATTTGTTGTGCAGACTATAACTATGACCAGATGTGTCCATCGCCACAGGTATCGCATGGGACCTGGTTATAGGGTGGCTGATGATGGAACTGTGACAGAAAACTATTGGGAACGAATGGAAGAAGTAGAACCAGAACAAAATGGAGGCAAAAAGAGAAAGCCATATAGGATAGAGCTAGTTGGGATAGTATGTGATGCTTACCTTGCAGTGGTTAGAGGAATAAGGTAGTGAAGATGGAGCATGAATCTTTATATTTGACAATCTCAATCGCCTAATGATAACAGCTAACTTCGAATGTTAACAGGAGAGCTATCATGTGTAGAAGAGCAGTAAGAGTAAACTCTCAATTGAAGTCCCACAAGAGATTTGCTGAAGCATTTCTGACTTACTGTCAACTGGTAGACAATGCACGACTTTATGTAACAAATGCGTTGGGAGGCCCCCATAAGGTAGGCACACATAATTTTCCTTTTTCTAGATGCAAAATCTGTTGTCTTCATTTTTAACCTTAGCTGCTAAAGTTTGATGCGAACAGATGAACTTGTAATTCTGAAACTTATTTCCAATAAAAGCGTATCTTTATACCTCTTTTGCATTTTTTCTGTTACCATCATCATGAACAAATTATCAAGGTAAAATGAACATGAATAGTTAGAAATAACACATAAGAGGAGGTAGGAAAAAAAAAATGCAATCTTGATGTTTCTCTCTCTGGTATGCTAACCTTTAATATTTTCGTTTCCATGGTTGCCACTTTTTTGCATCTGAAACGATAGTTTTTATGCAGTTGATAGGATGGAAAGAGAGAGACAAGACATTGCTTGTGGATCCAGATGAAATTGACTGCTTGAAGAAGGTTGGTAAGTTGAATGAGGAAGCCAACTCTATATATGAACTTTACAAGCACCCTCACCCAGCTCGTCAGGCTGGATCAATATGGAAAGACATTGTGTTATCGCCCACAAGGTTGAACATCCAGCAAGAGCTCAAGTATTCAATTCAAAAGGCTGAGAGATTGAAATGACAACTGCATGGAATAGCACTCGCATTCCACCCTCAACTTCTGAGACCCAGAAAGGAAGCTTGGCAAGGGGTGGAAGAGCATGTGTAAGGAGCTCAACAAACATCCACTAATTTGAAATTTTCAACCAAGGAAAACTTTTTGTATGAAACTGAAAATTCGACCATTTCAATGTTGATTACATAGGATTATTAAAACAGATAGTTCAAATTATTTTTCTGGAGTGCAGAATGCAGATGCTAAAATACACTAATTATGCCAACGATAAAGGACCCAAAACCACAACAAAAAGTTCACAGCAAATCAACCAACTTACCTGTAGGCGTCTCGTTTACTCTTATTACCAGAGCTTACTTTTCTTGTGCATGGGCTTTCACTTAACAGTTCACCACTCTAACTTCAACCAAGTGTTCAAATAACTTGGTGCCAGCTTTTAAAGAATGCAACTACTTTAGTTATCACACATTTCCAGACTCATTGCTAGCAGCACTGTGGGTCTATACTCCATTAACTCCAACTGCTCATGCTACTCTTTCTTGTGCTTCAATTCATATTCGTTTTCGTGATCCTTTTAGAAGCCACTTCCCTTAGCATGTTAAAACTGTCAAGATGAAGCGCATGTTATTTAAAAGATTATGAAAATATTTCTCTTAATGTGCCAACCAGAGTGAGGAGGTGATCTCACATACATAAACAAAGTTAACAAGAGCCATGTATCAGGATCAGATGGAAAGACTTGCTACAGACCATGTTTACAACTTTACGTGGCACTTTAACTTTGTAGTTTAATGAGATGTTTCCTTTTTCTTTTTCTCCCTATGGGCTAATAATTCCGTTAGATTGGAGTAGAACCGGTCCACGGCTCATACAGATACTAGATTTACAATTAAGCGTAATACTTCCTCCAATACCTGACATAAAAGCTAGTAGAAGGGTTAAATTCAATTCTAGATATAAGATCTTAATTCATTCTATCTCTTATGTTTATATTTTTTTTCCTAAACTAATTTATGTAACTCAAGAACTGATCAGAAAGAGTACCAACCAACATGCTTAATCCATGAATCAAACAAGGGCCCTTCGTACGACCTGCATCCTCCATAATGAAGGTTAATGGCCCAGTGACTTTGAATTACAAATCAAAATGGTGCCCTTATGCCGAAGCTTCACCAGCCCGCTGCAAAAATTAATTTATAATAATGTTATTTTAGTTATGAAAAAATATAATTGTCTTCATTCAAAATATATTCACTTTTTAAAAAAATGTTTGGATCAAAAGTAACATAATTTTAAATTATAAATGTTCATCAATCGCATAACACGTACATATACACTCAGTCAAGAATGATTTTAAAAGTTTAAATAAAATTAGAAGACTGAAATAATAAAAATTACTGATAATAATAAATTTAATTTATTACATGAAACATATTAAAAAGTAATACTCCTCCCATCCTAAATATAAGACATACTTTATAGTGTAATATAAAATAAATCAATATTTATAGATTACAAGCAAACAGAAAAAAATCAATAAGTATACATTGGGCTGGTCGAGAGGGTTATCGGCATGCCTACATGTAGGCTCTAGCACGCACATAACTAAGGGAAAAAATTCCTGTGTCCTTAAATTTTTAGCAGAATTTTTAAAAATTATGATCCTCAAGGCTAGGACTGTTCACGGGAAGGATCAGGATCGAGACAGGCCAGTTCTGGTTCCATCCCGATAAATAGTAACGGGACAAAAAATCTGTTCCCTGTCCTGGTCCGTCCTGGTGCTGTCTCGGTCCTGATCGGGACGGGACGGATCCGAGACAAGACCGGGACATCCTGATATATATTTTTTATTTTTTTATTTTTAATAGAATTTGATTTTTTTAATTATAGTTTTTTGGGCTTAGGCCTTATAAAAATATCTTTTTTATTTTCTTTTTTATTTGTTTGGATACTTTTCAACAAAAACCCAAAATATTACATATAATAGTCATTAAAAACTCTAAACAAAAACTTTAACACAATAAAAACTTGTTAAAAATTCTAATCATCAATAATCTCAATCATCAACAAATATAAAAACTCTAAATAAATATATCTATAGTTCCATATAATAGTCTCAAATCTTTAAAAAATAAAAAATAATATTATAAAATAGGATAAAAAAAAAGGAACCAGGACGGGACGACCTTGTCCCGTGTCCCGTCCGTCCCGGTTTGTCCCATCTCGAAAATTTCAGGATGGGTCCGTCCCGTCCCAATAAGACCGGGACCGGAACGGGCCGACTGGGACGGGCTGACCTTAAACACCCCTACTCAAGGTGCATAAAATTCTTTTTGGGTGGGGAAATAGAAAAATTGTAAACTGGGACCCATAATAACATAGTATGGATTTTGACAATATTTTTATGAATGGCTCTCTGTGTGTAATTTTTCTATTTCAGTAGTTTTTTTTTTGTAATTTTTTCTTTTAGGTTTTAATATGTCATTTTTGTTGATAGGAAAAAGCCATATTATTATCTTCATACCAAAGGCCCATATTATTAGAACGGGCTTTATATAGGAACGAGGAGCCTTAAGGGCCTAAATTAATCCAATTAGCCCACGCAACTGAAATTCTGCCGAAAAACCTAACCCGTCAAAAATTCAGGAACCCTATAAATGCTCAGGACTGTTGCCGCCATTCTGAAACCCTAGAGCGACCAGCATACATATCAGCGCCTCAATCCTCTCGTCTCTGTTTGCAGCCATGGTAAAGCTCCTAGCTCTCCTAACTCGCTATTTTCTTCACAGGAAATTGAAGGAAACATACTCTAGCTTTTAGAGAAGGAATGCTTCTATTTGGGTCCAATTTTCCTTATCTTTCCTCCGGTTTCTGGTGAACCAAACGGTTTTTCTTTTTTTTTTTTCCAGTTTCACCTCGCCTACTCTTATTACTCACCGTTATCATTTATCTTGGGTTTTTCAGGCGGATGTTGAAAAAGAGGTCGCACCAGGGCAGCCGAAGAAGAGAACATTCAAGAAGTTCAGTTTCAGAGGAGTTGATCTGGATGCACTCTTGGACATGTCTACTGACGAGCTTGTAAAGCTCTTTCATGCTCGTGCTCGTAGAAGGTGATTGATCCAGAGCATTCTCTCCACTATATTTACCTAATTAGCCTGTTCACGATCTAATTACCTGACACTGTTGTGGTTGCCTGTTTCGTTTTATGTTTTGATTTCAGGTTTCAACGCGGTTTGAAACGTAAGCCTATGGCATTGATAAAGAAGCTTCGCAAGGCGGTAAGTTATACTTTCATGATTTATCCAACGATTTTTGTGATTTACATGACAATTGTTTACGATATGTCCTGGTCGATATTGTTGGACATTAAAATGATCGGTTTTGCGTTTTTATCAACGGGAAACTTTCAATGTTCAGTCATGCTGATGATTCTTTGTTACTTGTTAAACATTTATCAAGAAAATCAGCTACATATGGGTTGTCTGATTTTCAAGACTAGCTTTTCCAAATTAGAATCAGCTGTCATTTTGTGAAGATACATCTGGTATATATTAGTTGACCGGAATTTTTATGTTCCATGGGGTTAAAATAAAGTATGAAGTATTGTGTTATATGCTTGCTTACTTTAGCATTGGCGTACCCCAAGGGCATGTTGCAATCTACATAGCCAACCTGAGTGGGATAAGACTACAATTGTTGTATGCTTAAAAAGTCGGAAAGCATATGGAAATAGAGGCGACATTTAGGCAAAGTCGCTGAGGGAGTAATTGTTCAACGAGGAAATAGATCTTTTTTCCTATTTTTCTTGACAGCACTTTCCAAGTAATCACCCTCACTTAGTGGGATAATAAGGCTCTTGTTGTTTTGTTATTGTTTTATCTTGAAAGCCCTTGGTAGCAATGTTGAATGTATTGGATATCAAAAGCTCACACCTTAGACGCTTCGGTGAGATCTTATTCATGGTTAGTGCCTCTCACCTCCAACCAGGAACTCTTGATGCTTTCTCTGTCATTCCGGACTGCATCCTTGGTGCCTCTGTTTGGTAGCAATAAGAGAAGGATTAGTTTGTGAGCAGAAGAAGACATTAGGAAATTACAGAGATTTGAAGAAAGATAATTATTTAAAGACTATATATTTCGTAGTTTCAAATTTAAAATTTATGTCAAATGCCATTAGAATGGTACGTGCATCTATCGGTCTGTTGTTATATAATATATATTTTTTAACTTTAGGGCCTTGTATCACTCAGCATTTGCCTTTGCCACCTCTTGCCTGAGATGTTTAGAGATTTAGCTCCATAGGGATGTCTTTTGCCTTTGACTAACTTGCATTATTTCAATCTATGGTCATGAAGAGTAATCTAGTTTCTCCAAGCTTCTGCTGGACAGTTTGGGGTGATCTTTTTTCTTTGGCTCTATTTTTGGTTTATGTGAGAGGCACATAGTTCAAAAATGAGACGTGTGAAGATCATTGATCAAATGACATACTGGCATATGTTTCTTCAATTTGAAATTGAAAGCTTTTGCATCTTCAACCAATACCTTTTTTTCAGGGCAAATTCAGCTCGGTGTTTGAGTAATTATTGTTCTTAGAACACATTTTCCCACGGTGTAAAGAAAAAAAGAATTATGTCAGACCATAAGCTCTTTTCCCATTCCTTGCTCTGAGCTAGACTGTCTATCCTGAATCTTTTTTATTTTACATTTTTTTAAACTATGGTCTTTATTTTTGAGACAGAAACGGGAGGCCCCACCCGGTGAAAAGCCAGAGCCAGTAAGGACTCACCTTCGCAACATGATAATTGTACCCGAAATGATTGGCAGCATTATTGGTGTCTACAATGGGAAGACCTTCAATCAAGTTGAAATCAAACCTGAAATGATCGGTCACTATCTTGCTGAATTCTCAATCAGTTACAAGCCTGTTAAGCATGGGAGGCCCGGTATTGGTGCTACTCACTCCTCAAGGTTCATTCCTCTTAAATGAAGAGTACAAGCTCGTCTCTTTTCTAGTTATGGGTGTACCTTTCATTTGCTGTGCCAAACTATTTATATAGTTTCTAGATGATATTGCAATGCTTTTTCTGATATCGCTGAACTAGGCATGGATGTTGTTTCCATAAAAAAATTAGTGAGCTTTGTTATTTCTTATCCTCTTCATCGGAGTTAAGATGTATTGGAAAATGTTTGGTTTATTGGAGTAGAAAACAAAACAAAATTTAACTGCTTTTAATGGAGTACCAGTTTTCAATAATTTGAACGTGTTAAAGGTTACCATTATACTCCTCTAGTCCTTAATATAGGATCTATTTAACTAATTTGATTAGATTGAGAAAGTTAGGTAAGTTAGTTAATTATAAGAGCTGTGACATGTTTTTCTTAACATATCATAATCATCTTTCTTAATATTTTTTTTTCTTCTTCTATTTGATTATGGTTGAGCGAATATCTATAGGAGTGATTTAGAAAAAATTGATAAATATGAGAAAAGGGTCTTGTATTTAAGACTAAAACTAACTCAATAATTGGATCCTATATTAAAAAGCAGAAGAGTATGTTTTTTTTTTTTTTTCCTTTTGGTATACCATATGTTCTCGTTATTTAGAAGAAAGTTTCCTCCTCATGTCTCCGTTGCAAATCTTTGGCAAATGTTCAGAGAATATTAACATCGAAGTTTAATTAGTGTGTAGTCATAAAGTGAATAATACTATAAAATTGATTGCTTGTAAAAGGTATATGTTTCGGAAAAGTAGGCTTGTGTAGTTGTGTTGCTAGCTTTTGTAACTGGGAGTTAAAAGGCATCGAGAGCTGCTGTCCGAACGTTTGCTTCTTGGCAACTTGTGGATTGATTTTGAATCGAGAGGTGTATATTATGCGCTGGAACGTCCTGACGTCCAAGATTTGGGCCACAATGATCTTAACATGGTTCCACATGGCCTGTTTCGTTGACATTATCACCGTTTGATCATTTTTTGTTTGGAGATATTGGAGATCAGCTATTTTAATAGTAAAGCGAATACCTGATTTATTGTTCTTCACGGATCGCCAATTTTCCCCAGATGCTTCGAGTTCTTTATGATATATTTGATTTGATACGTTGGAAAAGAGTAACAAAGAAATGACCATTAGAATTGGACTAGAAATCATAAGGAACTTCTTGTGAACATTGGTGGAATATCAACATGATGTGAAGTGAAACATAACTGAATCATCAAGGCCCGAGACTAAGAAATCTGGTTATAGTTAAGCCCATTGAATATGTTACAAAATTAAAGTGCTTTTCAAAATACCCCGTATTAAATGCTTGATATGGTTTTAAGCATGTGACAATGTGATTTATTAATTACACTGATTCAACTATTCCATATAATTGATGGGAGCGTGATGAAAATAATGCAACAAATGCCCCAGACACTGGTTCAGTGTCTGTTATGTTTTCCATATTTATTTCTTATAAAAAGAACAAGAAAGTAATAATTCATGGAATTATCTTTTATGATAAAATATTACAGTATTTATAAAATAAATGAATAGTGAAATTAAATTTGCACCATTTATTCCTACCACATTTAACAGGTGGAATGCGCGGGCCTCAGTAAGTACATTCCATCATACTGAACGAAGCTAGTTGCCGGCATTTCTCTTTCTACTTTCTTGCTGTTCCAATGAAGCAAAGAAGCCCTCAGGCCCCTTGGAAAAATAAACTAGAAATTCTTTTAAGCATAAAAATTTGATCCCATCAGAGGCCCTGTAGTCCTTGTAGGTGCTAATAAATAAAGTTACTCAAGTTAATGAACAAAAATTGGTTATAGATTTCAGATTAAATATTGAGAAAAAAATATAAATAGGAAAAATAAATAAACATACGAAATAAAGTAGATTGAGATAGATTCGGGTTTTGAGAAGCGTATTTCTTCTGATCTGACAGAAATTAGTCTTAAGTCTAAGTGAGTTGAGAATATTCTGAATTATACAAAAAAAAACAGATTGAAATTTTGTGTTTCGAACCACATTAAATTTTTAATTAACTCGTGTAGTAGTAATAAATGATGCGTTTGTTCCTAGTAAGTGCAGCGGTGGGCGTCGGATAGGGTTTGGTCGGGAAAAGAAATTTGCCTCTGGGCCTGTCTCGATACTTAGGCTGGTCCGATTTATTTATTAATTAAAATTTCATGCTTCAAATATCCTTGTGAAATCGTTGTAATGTACATTATGTTTCCTCAGGGAAATGACAATAGTCTTGGTGGAAAAATAATGACCCTTGCTGTGCGGATGCCACGATGGAATGAATAATGAAAAAGGCAATGTAGAGAGAAATCAAAATAGTACCAACTAGTGGTTACTGGTTAGGCTAGCGAGAGAGATTATTCTCTCACAGGCTAAGATTCGACGGAAAAAAGTACACATATTTTATATTTAGTATGCTGAGAATTTTTCAATAAAAAACCAAGTATACCAATTTTCACGCACAATTTCGATTTTTAATGATTATGGAGAGGCGGGGTGTCCTACGCTCATGCCTATTCTCTTCTGGCCGCCGCACCGGCACCGCCTTCTTTACTCACTTCGGGAGAATTGCATTTATATCCCAACAGTGACGCCACAGCTCATGCCTCCTCCCCACTTTCTCCGCTTCATTTTCCCAACGCCCCCAATTCTGAGTATCATTCAAGTTTTTTGGTCAACACTTACTGAACCAAAACTCTCTCATTTATTGCCTCTCTCTCTCTCTCTCTCTCTCTCTCCCCCCCCCCTTCGGGGTGTGTGCGTGTCAGCCCATCCCATTTCCCTTCATAAACAGTTCTGTGTAGTTTTTTCAGAACGGATTCGATTATTATTACTGCAAACAGAACAGCTCCATGATAGAACTCAGGACCATTACAGTATTTAGATACATCATGCATTTAGACCATCGATTCAGGTTACAATACTTTCGTTAACAAAACCCTCCACTGTCTGCTGTACATCACAAGGGCAATACTCCGCCCCCAGTCATTTAGAAAACGGGGAAAAAAAAACCGAAGGGAAAACTTCTGAACACCTTATCGCCGACCGTTGAGAAGCCCGGACCATAACGCTGTCTAGAAGAGTGGTTGGTTGGTTAAGATCAAGCATCAACGGTTTCTTCTCTTTCCGCATCTTTCTCTCCTCTCCCATCACCAAATCCACATTCTCCAACTTGTATCCCTTATACTCCGATCTCCCCGGCACTCCCGCCGTGGCGTCCGCCGCATGATACACCGGAGCCCTCCAAAACCCCACGCGCCTACCAAACATCTCTCACCATTACCAACACCGCCACTAGCGGTAGAGGCCGCCGCCGGTGACATCGGGACAGACGGAGCAACGGGAACAGCGGCATAGACGAAGTTCGTCTTTGCCCTGGGGCCACGAAGACTCCTGGCAGCCTCATCGTAGGCCCGGGCCGCCTCCTCAGCGGTATCAAAGGTTCCAAGCCATTTGCGCGTCTCTTCCAGGGATCGCGGATCTCGGCTGCGAATCGGCCCCAGGGACGTTTACGCACGCCTCTAAAATGCGCCTCCTTAGATACCGGAGAGCCGAAATGGAGGGCCGTGGGCGGGAGGGGAGGAGGATCGGAGGGAGGGCCGGGGAGGGAATCGCGACGAAGACGAAGCGCGTCGACAGCCATGAGTGGGAAAGCTAAGAAGGGTCAGAGCTGAGAGAGAAAGTGAGGGTTTGAGGGGTATAAATAGGGGAGGAGACAGCCGGGGCTAACGCCGACAAGCTTGGGGACTGTATTGGGTGCTAAAATTAGAATTAGAATTCACATCGGGGGTGCTCGAATAATAATACTGATAAATAAATACTTCCTCTGACACTTATTATTATTATTACAAACTTTAAATAAATAAAAATTATAAATACAAATATTAGTTAAAAATATTAAAAATATAATTTTATTTTTAAATATATTTTTATATAATAAATAATAAAAAAATATGATAGGAACCTATAATAAATAGTTAAGAACAAACTGAAAAATATAGTGAATATGTAAATAAATTTTAAATTAAAATTATAAAATAGACTATATCCTTCCTTAAATTTAAAACTGAAGGTGAATAAATAAAATAAGGAAAGAGTTAATGAGTGAGGGCCGAGGGGGAGGCTTGGTAGGGATGACCGCATCGGATTTAATGGACTGGAGTTAACAGGCGTGTGAGGCACATTTGATGCCGTGTTCCTAAACTTGAGGCCTTTTCTTCTCCTCTTCCCTTTCTACTGTTTTGGCAAAAACGTTTTGGTGATGCCGATGCTCGCCATGTTCTCCCTCGGAAGAAAACATTGATTTTCCTCTTCTTCTTTTTTCCGTCAATTTATCGTTTCCCACTTTCCCTCTACCTTTTCTTTTTAATTTTAATTATTATCCGACGATTCTGAAAACTGCGGTACAACCGTACAACAACGAGAGAGATATTCACTATCTTGGCAGGTGTTGTACCAGTATTTTGTTTCAGTTATATTTTAATCAAGTATGGTCATGTTTTTGCTAAGAATTAAATTATTTAACAACCTTTTAAATTAATAGTTCGAGCGTAGCATAAAATGCAGGAGCAATGATGACATGATGATGTCGGCATCCCTCCCCTCCTCTCCTTGCTCATTCAGACGTTTTTAGCCCCCAAAATTGTCATTTAAATATTCAAAATATTACTCATCCGCTCCTTAATATAATAATTGTTTAAGTTGATTTGATTTTAAATGTAGATTTATTTTTTATATGTATTAATTTTTTAAAATTATCTCTGTAAATACTCTTTTAAATATAATCAAGTAGAAAAGAAAATAAAAATATTAAGAAAGATGATTATGGTATTTATAAAAAAAAACATATCGATTTTTTATAATTAACTAACTTATTTAATTTTTTAATCTAATTAAATTAATTAAATAAATTTTATATAAGAATTACAACGCGACTTTTTTCAGTTTAGGCTGAGAACAAGTTAAAGCTTGATTGTTCCGGTATCAACGCCATTTGCCCCGTTGGATGAGGTCCCGGATTCCAAGTCGGCACTAACATCTGGGGGATGTGCGCGCGCTAAATTGCACTAATAAATAAATAAATAAAAGCAGAGACCAGTAATACAATGTAAATATAATCTCACGCCATAAAATTGCAGACATGTCTAGATGTGAAGCTTTCTCACAAGTTTTCCAAATTTGCTAACGTGCTTTCAAGTCCTCTACACTTGGGCGTAATAATTTCTCGTAGGAGATGTTATGCATTCCATACGCTTTTTGACTATTGGTGAGCCGGCGGCCACTGGTCAGTGTTGAAATGTTAAAGAAAATATTTTTCTACAAAAAACAATTCTCCCTAAATTACTAATATCGTAATATTTCCAAAAAAAACAAAATTCTTTTTATATATTTCTTGTCTTATAAAAACTATTATTTCTAAAAGCTTCAGTCATTAAGCTGATAATTAGATCTGATTCTCAAAATCGTTCTCGTATTCTCTTCCGTGGGTGTAGAACCAACCTTCTTACGGATCCCGGCTGACTGGAGAAAGAAATGACACAATCTGGGGCCTAAGTATTACTCGTTTTGTTTTTATTATAATTTTAACTAATTAATTTACAGATAACAAATCACTAGTTAAAATTAATTTAAAAATGTAATTTTATTTCCAAACATATCCTTATAATAAATAAGAAAAAAAATAAGTGGAGAAATGTGATAAGAGATAGTATAATAAAGAAAAGAAAATAAATAATTAAAGATAAATAAAATATATTAAATGTTATGACAAATCTTAAGTTAAAAATTACAAAATGAATCATATTCCTCCGATCCTTAATATAAGACCTATTTAACTAATTTGATTACATTAAGGAAGTTAGGTAAGTTAGTTAATTATAAAAAATATGACATGTTTTTTGAAACACCATAATTATCTTCCTTATGGTTGAAGGAATATCTATAAGGATATTTTAAAAAAATTAAAAATATAAAAAATAAATCTTATGTTTAGAATCAAGATCAACTCAACAATTAAATACTATAATAATAAAAAAATATTTTTTTTAATTAAAAATTTATAAACAGAACAGAACTAAATTTGAGGACAGGCGGCCTATGCGGCTAATCTGAGTCGGAGGAAGGGATAGCATTTAATGGGAAATTAAAGGAGTCAAGAGCAAAGGGTGTGGGATTAATTTGTTAGCGTAGGGAAACGGGAACATGCTCGGGGGCTGGAGGCTCCATTTATGAAATCAAATGGGAACGCTCCAATGTTAAAGAAAATGGGATAAAAGGGGAGCCAAGGAGAGAGTGACAGACGGGCGGAGAAGAAGCAACCCGATATGAAACACGTGGGAGGGCCCCACCCTAGAACGAGGGAGCAACGTGGGAAGGCGGACGACAAAGAATCGGCGGCTAAGCCTAACCCTGAGTCTCCCCTCCCATCTCCGTAGTCCGTCTGAAACCAACGTCCCGTGTCCCCACTCTACTTCTACTACCCCTCATGAGCACATCGTA